GATGCGACGAGCCCGAAGCAAAGAAAGCGACAGCGCACGAGCACGACGAGAACAGAGCAAGCACACGACAGCAGAGAGAGGAGAGAGAGAGAGAGAGAGAAGACACGATACAGACAGCACAGCACACACAGCAACTACCCACTTATCACACACTCACACACACATACCACACACTTACACACACACACACAGCACACACACACACACACACACAACACACACATACACACACCGATCACCTCACCACACACAAACATCTCACCACACATACATCACTCACACACACATACACACTCACACACCACACAACATTTTAAAATTCACACTACGACAACAAGCACCCACACACACACTCCCACACACACACAACACAAACACTGGCACACACACACACACTCCCACAATTTCAAACAGACCACCAATAACTCCCCCCTCACACAGCACTCCCCCCACCACACACACACACTCCCCCCCCACACACACACACACCCCCCCAACACACACCCACCCTCCGCCCCCCACACACACACACTCCCACACACAACACTCCCACACACACACACTCCCACACACATACACACACCATCTCCACACGAACACACACACCTGCACTATACGTCTAATTTACACTCCCCCCACCACACATACTCCCTCCCCACACAATGGCCCACCCCCCGCACACACCACAAATCTCATAACCCACCACACACAATCATTGGTAAAAGTGATCCAAACAGCTCAACTCCCCACACACACATCAGCCTCCCCCCCACTACCAATCACTCCCCCCCCAAACACACACACTCCCACACACACCACCACACACACTACTCCACACACACACCACACACTCCCCACACACACCCACATCTCCACACAACACACACACTCCCAACACATGACACACACTCCCACACACACACCACTCCACACACACACACCCCACTCCATACACAGCACAACACTACACACACACACACAACACACACTCACACACACACTCCCCCACAACACTACACACAACACACTCCCCCCCCCACACCACTCCCCCCACAACACACATCCCCCACTACACACCACTCCCTCCCTCAGCACTACAACTCCCCAGCACACACAAACTCCCACACACACAACACACACACACCCACATCTACACACCAGCTCCGCAACGACACACACTCCCACACACACTTTCACACACACTCCCCCACAACACACAACACACTCCCACCCAAGTCCCCCCACACACACCCCCCCAAACACACAAACACTCGCCCCACTGATCCCCCACAAGCATGGATCAATTACCTGTAAAGGAGGATAATATCCTCCATGCACTACAGACAACACTCCCAATCACAACACACACCATCAACACAACACACACACACACACACAACACATCACACACCATGCACACACTCCCCCCCAACACACAACTCCCACACACACACACTGCCCACAACACACTTTCAGCAACAATTGTACAAACACTCCCCCCCCCCCCCCACACACAACCACCTACACACACACACAACTCCCCCCCCCCACACACAAATTAAAAAATAAAGAGAGAGAGTAGAAAGAAAGAGAAGAAACAGTCAACGACACCTCCACACAGAAATTATACACCCTACCTTACCACACACAAACACTCCCCCAACACATACACACACTCCCCCCTCTCGCCCATCAACACAACTCCCACACACACACACTCCCACACATACACACACACACACACACACACACACACCCACACACACACACACACACACAACCGTTAAATTCTACACACCACCAGCCCTCCACACACACGAATACACACACACAAAACACTCCAAACACCACACACATCATTCCACACAGGCGAGCACACACACACCAACACACACACCACACGCACATACATACACACACACAAAATCTTCTCTCTCTCTCTACCCCTCCCCCTCCCCCCTTTCTCTCTCTCTCTCTCTTCTCCTCTTCTCTCTTCTCATCTTCTCTCTTACTCTCTCCATCTCCTCTCTCTCTCCTCTCTCTTCTCCTCTCTTCTCTCTCTCTTCTCTCTACTATACAAGGTCCATCTCGTCATCCCACATCACAATGGAATCACACAAATACATAATAAACAAAACCAAATTACAACGCAAAACATCCTACCCAGCACAACTTTCCCACAGCCATCGAGGGTACATACGGCTATATTTCCAGATCCAAAATAAAATTAATAAAAGACACGAAAGGATAAGACCCAGGCCCCTATATCCTTAAAAAAGTAACCATACATCTGAGCGAAACACCCCTTTAATTCGCTCTCTCTCTCAGCTCAGTTATCTTCTCTGTCCTTCTCCGGCACATGTCGTACAATTGTACTCTCTTGCTCTCTCTCTCTCTTGTTCTCTCTACGAAGCCTCTTCATCATCCATCTCTCGGCGGGACTCTGTCTACGAGGATCAATCATCTCGTCACACTTCTTGTGTGGATTAACCTCATCGTCAGCCGTCCATCTCCCCCTCTGTCTGGCGAACTTCCACTCACCCGCGTCACCACTCGCTTCCAGTCATCTCTCTCCATCATCACACCCTCAGATATGAGGATGATCCAAAGACGACGGGCCACCGACCGAGTCACGGGTACATTAACTTACACTGCTCTTCTCCTCCGTTCTCTTCCCTCCTTCTCTCGCACCCCTTTCTCTCAATCTCTTGTTCTTCTCTCTCTCTCACCCCTCATGGATGCACGTGGCGGGCCGGGTTCTTTTCCTTCTCTCTCTAGTCTTTCTCCTTCTCTGCTCGTGCGGTTTTCGCTCTGTTTGTCTCGCGCGCCCCTCCACCCTCTCCTTTCTCATCGTCTCTCTCTCTATGTCCGTAACTTCTAGCGCTTCATTCTTATCTTCTCATCCTCGTCCCTCCATCGTCCTGTGTTCCGCTCGTCCTCGGCTTTTGTCTATCTCTCTCCTCTCTCCGGGTTATCTGCATCCGCCTTCCCTCTTCTTCTCTCCCTCCTCTCTTCTCTCCTCGGGTCCACCATTCCGTCCGGCTTTCTTCGCCGTCTCTCTGGGCTCGTCATTCTTCCTCTCTCTCTCCCGTCTCTTCTTTCCTCGCTTCCGCCGTCGATCATCTTCCGCGCCTCGTCCTTCTTATCTCCTCCCATCTCGCCCGTCTCTCCTCTGCTTCGCCAGCCCTCTCTCTCTATCTCTGTCGTCCCTCGACTTCCTCTCCTCTTCTTTCTTCATTCCTCTCATTTCTACATCTTCTCTTTCCTTTTCTTCCTCTTCTCCCATTCTTTCTTCCATCTTTCCCTCTCTCATTTTCCTTCTCCCCTTCATCTCCTTTCTTATTTTCAGCCATCTCTCATTCTCTTCTTTCTCCCTTCGTCCACCTCTATCATCCAACTCAGCGGCCTCTCTCAATCATCTCTCTCTCTCTCTCTCTCTCTCTCTCAGTCCAATCTCCAGAAGTTAATTGGTGTGACAGTATATATATATATATATATATTCAAGAGAGCTAGCTTTATAAGTTAACATAAGAAAACATTTATTGATAGATATAAATGTGTATATATGTCACCCCCCCCTTAGAAAATTAATAGAATATTGTAATATTGTGAATTACGTTGCAGAAGATACCGTTGTCTGTTTTTGAATAAAAGTCCAGGGGGAGAATCAAAGCTAATTAAGCAGAGAGCAGAAAGCTAGAAGATATTGTTCTTTGCATATTTTTCACATGTTTCATATGTTCATTTAATGTTATACTTTTCCCCTTCCTTATAAATCCTTTGTGTTTGCAGTTGAGAAAAGACGTCCATATTAATCCAGCTTTTAACATAAATGTAGTGTTGCTAACCTTTCCTGTGTTTTTCGTTGTTTGTGGATTTGTTTGTTTGGTTGTTTTTTCCTGATTTGTTTGCCATGTAAAGCAAATTAACTACTAGGATGCTTTTGTTGAGTTGATACTGACCCTTTCCTCTAGATGTAGCTGTTATAGGATTGTGCAAACGTTCATTCCCTATTTGTTAACCATTGTACCCAAGAGGTCCTTTTGAATAGTTCTTAGATTATTATTATTATTTATATTTATATATGTATTTTTTTTTTTTTTTTTTTTTTTTTTTTTTTTTTTTCTTTTTTTTTTTTTTCCCCCTTTAACCAAGACTAAATTAGAGGAAGCTACACCCTATAGGTATTTTAGGAAGGACTAGAGATATCAAAGGGCTGTTGAGGCTTGTGTGGCCTGTTATGAGAGTGGGGATGATACTGTATCAATGCCTTGGAGAAAGAAAAGAAAATGGGCAATATTTGTGTTTTTGTATGTCTGTAAGTGCTATGATTTTTTTCTTTCTTTTTTTTCTTTTCTTCTATATATACATTTTCATGCTGCTGGCTCTTCTCTTATATATATATATATATATATATATATATATATATATATATATATATATATATATATATATATATATAATCTTTTCCTTTTCATCTGTTTCTGTGCCCTTTTTCAAACATGAAATGTCACATACTACATCAGGTTCCCAAAATTGCATTAGAACTGGCAGCAGTTGTTCACAGCCCATTCATGCTTTCTCTGTTGTCAGTCTGATCATAGGGACTATGTGTGGGGGGGAATGTAGAATAGACCTAAAAAGCTTGATGCTTGAGGCTAAATGAAGACAAGTTAGATAGTATGTTAAAGCAGATTGCAAATTAAAAAGAATTATATTTGTTAGATATTAATTAGGTAGCTGAATGAAAATAGAAAATTGTGAATTAAAAGGAAAGGCAAAGAGAGAGAGTGGTTTAAACCTAAGAGTAGTCATGTTAAATGTCTTAGAGAAGCATGTTTCTTTTTGCACATATCCACTTACATACAGATGTTAAAAAAAATGTAATTTTAAATATTAGAAGTAAGAAATTAAACAGCAGTCTTATTTAAATAAAAAAGAGGAAGCAAAACTTCAGTTTGTGTCAGTGCCAAAATGTTATTTTTACCTTCATTTTGCAGGTAACAACCCAGCCTCCGCAGCTCCAAGAAGAACGCGGGCAAGGGCTCCAAGACGACACCGCTAGCCAACTTACACTTGATACCCAAACAGTGATAATGATGAAACCCTGCATCCTTTGTTACGGATGCCCTTGGAAACTTCCTTACAAAGCTGTTCTCACAGCTCTAACCTGTGGTTCTCGAGGGTAGGATCAAAATTAGCCACATGCAGCAGCTGCCCATGAGGATACAAAAGTCCTAGCTAGGTGGAGTGGCATTTCACATGTCACTTCGTAGCCTGTGCTAAATGTGTAGACTTCTTAAGGGCTGCAACAGGATGTGGCTTCCTTTTTACAGCTCTGTGGAGACACATGTAAGCACAAGGGTTATAGAAATGTCAATTACGTGCTTGCTTAACATGAACTGCTTACTGTGAAAAAGGACTTGCAAGTGTATATTTAACCAAGGTTGACAATATTACCTAATAGGAATCCATAAATGAAAGTGTTAGTAATCCATATCATATCAAATGAATGTATAATATTGTAAGTGTGAGTGTTCAGTTATTGTGAACACTTTGCTGTAATTCAGCAAAGCTTTACTGTGTATTTTGGTTTAACATCAGTTGACTTTCATAAATATCATATTTGTCCAACTAAGAAGCGATGCCTAATGGTTACCAAAAATAGATGTGTTACTGAACATTCAATAATATCAAGCAATTTTCCATATTTAGATTATCAGTTTTGGTGGCATTATTTAGACCAATAGAGCTGCTTCTAGCTAACATACATATGTATAGATATATATAGATATATATATTTGATTTATATCTTCTTTCTTTCTTTTTTCCTTTTTGTGTTCTTTTTCATAAGGGTATAGGGTCTCATACTGCTGTGTAATTTGAGTGCTCCTGTAATAACTCGACATTTAATAGCAAATAATTATATCCCAAGACAAGTTTCAGAAAAATCCCTCTTCTTTTCTTTTCTCTCACAAGCAGTTTATATGATTTCAGACACTTTCTTGAGTATATTGTTATGATAAAGGAGCCTTTTCAATCTGTTTAACATCCACCAGAAGGTAAACTATGATAGACAAGTCCAGCAGTTGGGAATGATTTTTTTTTTTTTTTTCTTTTTTCTTTCTTTCTTTTCTTTTCTTTTTTATACTTTCATAATTTTAGTTAGCAAAGAGGCACTCCATACACTTGCAGCCTTTTGCCCTTTGAAAACATTTTGCCTTTTTTGTGATTAGTGTCAGTGTAAGAGAAACTTAATCACTGCCCTTTGCAGCTTCTATTCCAACTGGCCCTGTTAAGTGCCACATTCTTGTGGATCACTAGCAACATACTTAGGTGTTGTGGTTTGTGAAGAAGACAGGGAGGAGGGGGGAGGGGGGTTATGGGAAGAAGATACCTGTTCCCAGAATTATTCATATTGATATTGTCTGTGTTGGGGATTGCAGGTATTAGTGATTATATGTCAGCCTATATGGTAATTGTACTGTACTACTGACATTTTTTAGGTGTTCAGTTCAATGAACATGCAAAATCACACAATGTTGCGTTTCGGTGCTAACTCGTTACATAGTTCATGAAACCTTTTCCTGCTGACCTAATATTATTGTAGCACCTTGCTAATTTAGAAATAAACAAAAAATGCCAGAGTACATACCTCCTTGTCTCTTGTAATGCCAAGTTGAATAGGTGTCTATTGTTGATGTCCTCCCATGGACTGGATTGAAATGAATATGTCCAAGCTCTCTTCCTCATTTCATAGTTGTACATTTTCTACAACTTGAATGATATAAATATTTCTGATCAGAAGTTAATACTACATTTTTTTCCATTGTTATTTGTACTTATCATTATCATTATTGCTACAGAACATACTTTTTTATACATTGATGTATTTTTTAAAACTTTTTCATTGATTACATTTTGAGAAGTTATTGTTATTATTTATTTTACTTTTATTCATATATTTTTTTCATGACTGGTAATTATATGTAAGTATATATATATCCACATATATTTTTTCCCCAGTTGTAGGTAATAAATAGAAAGTTGCCACTTGGGTTCTTCAGTTCTTGAGATGATGGTGGCCTATCTGAGTGCACTCATCTTAAGGCATCAAGCAGAGACCCCTTCCTGAGATTAGTCTGTCCATTACAGTGTCTGTTTTACGAATTCTAACTCCCAGTATTAGAGAAACTTTGCCTATCCACGATACACGTGCCTTCACTCGATATTTGAAGTTGCTCCGCTTGTCTAACAAAGAGGACGTAATATTGGTAAAACAGACAATGTGTCCCGATTTCCTTTTGAAGACCACAACTCTGGCTGATATTGTGGCAGAAGAAGCCCTAGGAGGGTTTTGGTCAAGGATAAATGGGTGTGTTCAAAATGGATGCAGAAAGGGTTTGATAGATAATGCAATAGGATTTTTTTCTTACAGAGTGAGAAATACAATGTGTAAAGGGAGAGGGGAGGGGTAAGATTATCCTTTCTGTGGTCTATGACCCATTCTTGGATACAACAAGAAAAATATGATGCAGAATTGCATTAAAAATCTTTTTCTTTTTTTTCATTGGTTAGTATGTTAATAGTGCAGAAAGCTCAAATTGCTTGTCTGTGGTGTAAAATCTGGTTGTTCAATTTCCTACTCTGTAAATTCTTTAAGGGTTATATAAGCTTGTAAAGATGTTATGCATTTTAAGTGCTTGTCCTTTTCCCCCTTTTATTATTACTTTTCCACTTTTCCTTTTCATCTTGTGGACCACATCTGTGATTCTGAATATTGTCACAGCATTCTGTCTTTTACTTCAGACCATATCCCTTTTTCAAATGTATGCCCCAACTTTGAATTCCCAGGTTTTATGTTAGGCTGTTTGTCAACTGGACTCCTTCAGTTGTTTTATTGAATAGATTATTTTAATATATAAAAGATACAAGAATGAAATCATGTTAATGCATTTTGATGATGGCTGTGCATAATAGATACTTCACTGAAATATGTCCAGTTAGCATGTAGCTCTTAGCTGTAAAAAGGTTTGCCCTGGAGTTGACTCATGCCCACTCAGTCAAGTCTTGTGGAATCTGTTAGGTTTTGCTATTAAGGAACTAATGCCAGTTTCTAGTTGATTATTGCTTGGCATTACATTTATATATCATGCAATGAGGTAAAGCAAGGCTTTTCTTTTTTACTTTTTTTCATACTTAACCTTTATGTTTGGTAATGAGGAGAAAGGAATCGTGATAATCCTAGCATATAAAATGAGCATTTGTTCATTATGGAGATAAGCCATAGACCCAGAGAATGTGAGGTCATTCAAACCACACTGTGGATAGAAACCCTCCCCAAGCAGTGAAAAGGAAGGGCTGACCAAACCTTTCGCTTGAAAATTCACCTAGGGTATAGTGCAAGCAATATCATATATAGCCTCGTTATGTGCTCTGTTCAGTATAATAACAATTGTAATGTTAATGATGATTTCAAGTCCCATTGTTTGTGCTCACTGCATGATGGATATTCTGAGTAATGTACTCTTTCTATAAGTGGGATTTGTTTTGAGAAAATCTTAAAGACCTCTGCACAACTTTTGTCCTTAGGCAAGGTGTGGTGATGTCGAGGAATAGTCATTAAGCTAACATTGGCAACTTGGGGTTTGCTTTCCGAGGCAGCCCACAGGTTGGCATGGGTGCATTATCATAGAGATATTTTGATAAAAGTTTCTGGGGTGGGGGGGTGGTTAATCTATTCCAAATACTAGCCTAGACTTGGATGATTTAAGAGTTTCTGTAATCCCAAAGCAAAGGCCCTAGATGTTTGAGTCTCCATTGATGTTCTATATATATAATCTTGAAGGGGGGCACAACTTAAAACTGGGTGCATGTTACAAGACGTGCCGGCATGCTGTAAAGTCAAACCCATTGTGTTCAAATTCCATGTGATATATATATATATATATTTACATTGTGTAAAGTGTCATTAACCTTTACCTACTATATTTTCCTTTTTTATATATATATATACATAGTACATAATGTTCAAATGATCTGTGTATAAGGTAACAAATATACATGTATGTTACTATGTCATTACCTGCCATACTGTGCATGTCTTGTATGTTTTTCAAAATAGAAAAAGCTTCAGAAATATATTATTTACTACTTTGTTGATTACCTTGTAATACTATTGTGCACTGGATGGATAATATTCTCCCTTCTTTTAACTAAACTACTCATTATGTACATTAATATTTCTGAAGTACAGATGAATATTTTGTTACAAGATTTCCTATGTTATGTATATATTTAGCCTCGTAACACCATGCGTTTTATTGTATACAACATAACCGATTAGTTTCTGAATAAATCCCAGTGAGTCCCTCTTCAAGTTGTTATCTGTGATAGTCAGGGATTGTTATAAACTAGCATTTTTTTTAATTAATTTTTTCAACTGATTAATAGTTGGTTTGTTAGGATGATTATGGAGAGTCAATCATAATTAATTAATAAAAGATGTTTTTGTGTTGCGTGTGTATCACTACTCTATCCCCTCTTGTGAAGATAGTGGGAAAGATGTATTTTTTTAATGAGGAGCATATAAGTAAGAAAAGGAAACAAATGTCCCTTGATTTTGATAATGTGAAGACAATGATCTACATATACATTTTGGCCTGTACAAGATCACTGTGCTAATAAATCATCAGCAACCAAGGAATCAGTAGGTCTACCTGACCTCACCTATTTACCCCTTTCATTGAGTTTTGGAAATGAAACTTTATCTTTTGAATATTATTAGTATTATTAAGAACCTTACACTAATATCAATAATAGTACTAGAAATAAAGGCATTTTACCCAGAAATTTAAGGAATTGAGCCCCACCAATGCCTTGCCCGTTGTTTTCATGGGGAGGCTTAGGAGATGGAGACTGAGACCCAATACAGGGATCTCCTCTGCCTAGGGCCTCAGCCCTCGACTCAACTAATTTTGCATGGTCTTTTCTCCCTCCA